AGTTTGAAAATACGAGTAGTACTTACTTTTCTCGAGCATGAAATATATGTGCATTGGGCAGTTTGCTTGCGCGTGAAATATGAGGTCTTTTCCTCTTCCCTCGACCTGTGATTTGCTTCTGTTTTTTATTCTGGTTTATTTCAAATTTAGGGCATGAGCATAACCTTCTAGCTGTTTCAGACGATGCTTTAGATGCTTGTCAGCAGATCATCGTATGTTAGTTTAAAGCCTGTGGAAACATTAGCCCTGAAAAGTGAAAACATAAGGCAGACAAATTTGCTCAAACTTATCAAACTGAGAAGGTGGTTGAAACCCATCAATTACAATGCATGTGGTTTTTGGTGTATATATACTGTAATTAGTTTTGGATATGTAAGTGGCATGTGATTTTGGGTATAGGCGTGTATTTCAGTGTTCTCTGTTTTACTCAAGACTCGTGTATAGGTGTTCTATTTTTATAAAAATTTCCCTTATTTGGTCTAAATTGAAGTGTCAAGTATCCATACCCATCCAGTAAAAAAAAACATTGTAAAAATCACTGATATATACTTGAGGTGAAGTGGAATGTCTGAGTGACGCATGTATTTCAATCTGTTGAAGTGGTGAACTGGTTATATAATCTCTTTTTCGTCCAATCAAATTTGATGTACATACAGTAGGGAGATTTGTGCTGATGCGGTAGCATGCTACTGTGCCAGTGCGTCTGGTGTCCAAAACATATGTACTGTATGGAAAAAAATACCTTTAGTCGTCAAACAACAATGTCCTAAGAACCTATTACCTGTATAGCTGTATGTGATTTGGCTAAACAGCGTAGCCTTTAGTCATATTTGACAGTGTAGATACACTACAAACATATGTGCATTGTTGACCTGCACTGAAGCTTTGGAGTCGTAGTTATTTAACAGTCATTTCTCTACTAGATGTATCCCGTTTGATTTCATGCAAAATTTATTGGCTGCATTTTTAGATTATTTTTAGCTGTTAGTATTCTATGTTTCGTGTTCCTTTCCAATGGTTCCCTTTCTTGATGAGATTTGATCTTTGGGACTCGACTGTATGATGAGACAATGGAGGCACAAGTAAAAGAAAGTGTTTTTATTATTTTTATTATTGAGGTTGGCCTCAGACCAATAAAAGTTCAGTACAAAGAGAGCTATGAAAGTATGAATAAGGGAAATAAGAGCAGACACACACACAGCAAAAGGAAACAAACTAATCCTCACCCTTTAGAGCATTCTCTTGATTAGTTTCTGATGTTGAGTCCATTTCATAAACATCACACCATCGCAGGCCGCTGGAGGTGCTTAGAACATTAGTTCAGCCAGTACTGTACCATAGTATTGTTTTGGTACAAAGCAAAACCGACAGTAACTAATACAATTAGTTAGTAATTTAGTGAAAAACTGTAACATTATACCCAACAATGGCATTCCCAGATTTGCTATCATAAATGAGCCTGGGCGTACCCACGAGCCATCCGAAAAAACCCGGTTCCTCCCACAACTGGCATCTGTCTCACTGGACTCTTAGCCGAGTTCCGGCCCAATATACTTAAGGTACTCCCATTGTACTTTCCATCATTGAAGCTGTAGCTCAGGGCCATAAGTAGGTTCAATTCATCCCAGCCAGCTGATCCATAAAGACCTTGGGCCCTGCCAAACAAGCTTTGACTTTGGGCCAGGCCCTGCCGTTAGTGGGTCGTCGATCATTGTGACGACCCCAAAGCCTGTGGTTGTCTTATATTTGGGCTTTAGGGGTTGAGCAACCAGGATGGCACTTGGATTCCTCCCACTAACGGTGTCATGGAAGTAAAATTGAAGAGTGGTTGTGCGCTCTTTGCCTAATACAACCGTCTTTGCCCATTCTTGGGCATGGGTATGGGACGTCCTATGAGCCCAGACCATACTTTGGTCAGCCATGAAGGCTGCGAAAATTACAAACTTCACCACCTGATGAATTAGCATTGCCATTTTTAAGAGGTAGACACAACAAAAATTGTGTAATTTTGTTGTGAATTGAGAGAAAATAGAAGGAAGATGTACGTATAAGAAGAGATTGTAAAGTTAATAGAAACTATGTGGGGGCTAATGTAATTATCAGGTCAATTTGCTATTTTAATTGGTTGCTTTATTAGGTGAGGTTGTCAAATATCAGAGATTTTGTTATTAGCCATTGGCCATTGCAACTAGTACCTTTCTTGTTTCCTTTTATATTTATATATAGAATAGCTTAAATAATTTCTCATTTGCAAGTTAACCAAACAAATATTAATATGGTCCTATGCCTTGTATAAAAAATGGTTAAAGTAGTCAAGTTATCTATCATACCTTGTTCTGGGGATCAAACTTAGCACATTATGTCATGATATTTCCTTTTTATTTTTTTATTTTTTTATGTATCATAAAGAATGTGGAGTATGAATTCATAATTTTTTATGATGATATAAGTTATGATTGTTGTTGTAAATTTTAATTATCAACTAAAATTGTATATTACTCCCTATTTATAATAAAATAATGACGTTTAACATGATTAAAAGATATAATAATATTTATATTAATAGAAGGCTTGAAGTAAAGGTCAAGTGATCAACCCTACAATGTCCCTACTGGCTCACCGCCCATAAGGTAGCTTATACGGTTTTCCGGGATTCATAATCCATCAAAGCTGTGCCCAAGCTTATGGAGATTTAATACTACTCCGTACTATGGCAAGATGGGCCCTTTTGGCTTTTGCGTAGTACATTACTACTAATCCTTTGAACAATGGTCTAAATTTTTAGTCAGATGACCTTGTACATACGTAGCAGTTACGTAACGACGTTTGATGTATTCCTTAGTCATTGCAATGTACTATCTCCGTGCATAAATCATTTTAAGACACGATAATAAAGGGTGGTCTGGGCTACATTATGTTTGAGATAGTTCCAAGAATGAAGTAATTCGATGCATAATTTTGTCATGTCTAAAAAAAGTTATCCAAGTGTCAAGTTCGATGGCTACAGTACGTGAAATCGCATGCACCAATTTTTCATATATTGTGATACGATACCGAAAACTTAATGGGCGATGGTGCCCATGGCGGGATGCATCCTAGAGGCATACTATGCTGTTTGTAAGTATACATTGTCACTAGTTGATGACATAATGTCTTGAAGTAGCCTTGAGTTAACGAAGGGGGTCGTGTATGTGACCGTCCAAACCGAGTAGATTGATTGACTGTTTAAAGTAAAATGGACGATACAGGCACCCAAATGGCCTCCAAGAGTCTGAAGTACGTGTGTAGAATTGTAGAAAGTGCCTTGACCTTTTTTTTTTTTTTTTTTTTTTTTTTTTTTTTTAATCCAGAAAAAGTTGAAGATTGTCTAAAACTGAAAGCTATATCCATGCTTTTGGGTCAATTATGAGAAATTTTTGAAAATTTTCTTCAAATTGAAGTGGATTCTTGGGGTGTCCTTCAGGGTCATAAGTGTTGATTGGATCAATAACAATCCCACCAATATGTTTTTCAAGTTCCAAAAATGAATTTGGTTTGATATTGTGGCTATTTCGGAATTGTTGCAATGATAGTCAAGTTGCAAGAGATAGTTCCACTCACAACCTTATTGGTATCCTGAGATCCAATTTAGATGTCAAGAATCTCATTAATTGGGTTATCAAACTCAAACTCATTCATTCATTACTTACCAAGTTACCATATCGTTGTGGTGTTGATGCACGCATTACATGCATGCACAACAATGCATCACGGATTTGTTTATATTACACCATATTGGTGTGAATGGTGTCTGTTACTCAACACCAATTCCTAATTTCCTATTGATGATTTTGACGAGCCTAACACTTGTTAATTTTGTTTGGGCAACGAGATTCCATGATTGTGCCCATCTTATACTATAACTTAATAAAGTAATTCATGTTCTGCAAGAAACTAACAACTAAGGTACATATTTTTTGATTAAATGGGTTACAAAACTTATGGAATACTACTTCTATGCTCAAAAGTATTACGAGTTGAAGTCAGGGGTGGTTCTGAGCATGTGCAGGGTGGTCAACCGCACAGGGCTCCAAAGTGAAACTACTATAAAAGGGCCCCGACTTTTTAATTTCGTAACATACTTTTCCTTAAAAAATTGATTTTAGGTCCCAATTCAATAAAATTGCACCAGACCACTATAAGTGTTAGTATTTGTAATCCCGCCTCTGAATGAAGCAATAAATGATTACTTTCAAGAAGAATATTTGTATGACGGAATATTTTACTCGAACTTGAATCACTCAATTTTTTCAAATGGAATAGTGGTCATTGAATTACATTCGTTTTCTTGTCAATTGTCGTGCTAATTTGTTTTTGTGGCCAAAAAATGAAGTTATTGTAGCCGTCCTTTTACCTAAAAGATCCGATGCGATAACCAAAGAAATTTATTTGCATGCTTACGCGCGGATCTCTCTTTCTATATACTTGTATTAAAAGTATCCTCAGCTTTATTTGATCACGAGAATCACAACTTTAACTCTCATTTGTTAAATTGGAAAGCCGAAGAGAATAGTAATATGATTAATGATTGACGTATCACGTATGGTATACAAATAGTTTACAAAGGTGTTACTTACGTCATAAGGAGTAAAATAAAATGTTCTTGCCTAAATTTTTACTCGGTATTTTAATTTTTTTAAAAATCAAATATACTTCCTCCTTTTTTCTTTTATTGCACCATAAACGCTTTTATATTAAACATATAATATTCTTTTACCATCATTTGTGATTTATCCATAAGGAAAAACATAGTCACGTGAAATCTTGTTAGATTCGTCTTAAATCTACATACATTTCAAATATCAAATTTTTATAAAAGAGTAAATAAAGATATTAATAGGCGAAATAATGCATTGACAAGAGTGAAATTACTCGTGGTGCAATAAAAAAAAATGACGGGGGAAATATTAATGATTAAAGTTGTGTGCTAAACAACAACATAAATAATTACGGACTACAACTTTTTAAAAACTGCAAATATGTATATTGAATATCCAGGATTATGTAATGCTTTCATACATTTCACTAAATATAAACTTTGTTTCAAACAAGTTTAAAAATACACCAATGATGGGACAACTAGAGCAAAAGAACAAGATCACGAACATAAAGAAGATTAAGGAGAGGAACTAATTAAGCTTATTAAACATGAGTTTAGTGCATAATGTCAAATATACCATACTATTGTTTTGGTACAAAGAAAAATCGACTATAACTAATTAATGCAATTAATTCGTGATTTAGTGAACAAGTGTAACATTATACCCAACAATGGCATCCCCGGTTTTAAAATCAACCCAGTATGTATGAGCTATGGCATACCCACGGGCCATCCGGAAAAACCCGGTTCCTCCGACAACCGGCATCTCTCTCACCGGCTCCATGGCCGAGTTCCGGCCCATTATACTAATGGAACTCCCATTGTACTTACCATCATTGAAGGTGTAACTCAGTGCCATCACTAGGCCCAATTCATCCTGGCAAGCTGATCCATAAAGACCTTGGGCCCGGCCCACAAGCTTCGACTTTGGGTCAGGTCCTACCGTTAGTGGGTCGTCAGCCATCATGACGACTCCAAAACCCGTGAGGGTCTGATTCTCTTGCTGTATGGGTTGAGCCACCTTAACCGCACTCGGAGACTTGCCACTAAGGGTATCATGAAAATAAAATTGAAGAGTAGTTGTACGCTCCTTGCCTTTTTCAACCGTTTTAGCCCATTCGTCGGCCTGGGATGCCATGCTGGCCCAGGCCGTACTTGGGCTAACCACGAAGATTGTAAAGAGTACAAACTTCATCACTTGTAACATTAGCCTTGCCATTTCTTTAACCTTTGTGGTGACTAAAGAGGCAGCGAGACTAATCGCAATCGAAAATATGTGCACGTAAGTGTTAAGACAAGTGAAAATAGAAGGAAGATTTGCGTACGTTTATATAAGAAGAGATTGTGAGATCTCTAGAATATAATATGGCTAGAAAGTAAACTGAGGTGGGGGGGCTAAGTGATTAGTTTTCTAACTTGTTTGCTTGCTAATTAGGTGAGGTAGCAAATGAAGTAGCAATGTTTGTCAAATATTGGAGGATTTTCTTGTTGGTAACACGACTAATATCTTTCTTGTTTCCTTTATATTAGTATGTAGAATAATAGAAGTAATAAAATTTAATGTCTAAGATGTAAAAACAAATATGGATCATTCCTTTCAAAAAGTTATAAAAGTGTTGAAGTCATACTTACTGTTCTTAGAAAATAAGAACACATTATGTCACCTCTTTTAAGTTTGTCTATCATGCTAAACGTGGAGTATTGCTCTCATAATTTTTGATGCTGACATAATTAGTTGATAAAAATATAAAATGATACTGATACTCAATTTTTGAGGTGAACTAATTGCCTTACAATTTATATACTCTTTTGTGATCATGTATAGACATTATAATTAAAAAATAAAATAATAAAAAAAATTTGGGTATTTACGTAGAAGCTTCTATTCCATGAACGCAATATGCGCCAAAAGATATGGACGAGATCCAAAAAAATTGGTTCTTACTTCTTAGCTAACTGGTGAACTGGTGGGGTTACCGTATATTTCTGTCTGTTCGTTTTATTGCTTTTTTTCTTGTTTAATTTCCATTTTTCACTTCTTTTTATGATAGTGCTAATTTTTTTTTGCTGTTGATAATTTTGTTTACTCCTTTCAACTTTCTGGAAAATTGAATATATCTACTTACCAAATAGCTAGTCTTAAAGAGTGATTTTCAATATTTTAAACTGATAAGGGCTTGTTCTCATTAACTAAACTAAACCAAATTAAGCTGAATTGAACAAAATATTTTATAAGAGAAGAAAATTAGGAACTTAACTGAATATTTTATAAGAGAAGGAAATTAGGAGCTGAACTGGACTGAACTGAAAATAAACGTATGAGAACAGAAGTCGTCTTATATATGTCATTTGATACTAAAAAAATTAATACGGAGTACAGCTTGTTTAAGGAATTTTGATTCTAATGAATATTGTTACATACAAAGGTATAAATTTTAAAATACTTAATATACACTATGTTTTACAAATCGAAAAAATGTACTTCGTAATTAAATAGCTTAAACAAAAGCTGGATTATAAATTGATCAGTTGCGAATCTGATAACTCATGAGAATTGATGAAGGTGTAAATTTTTTATAAGAATTTAAGTAGTTACAGTAAAATTTATTAAGATCTAAAATTGAAACAAATTATTTATGTGTTTTTAAATACATGTGAGCTTATCAATCAAATATATATTTGATAGCGATAAAGTTGATCAGATTTGTATGTATCAATGTACAATCAAGTTATAGAAAATTTAAAATTAAACTTAATTCATGTCAAAAATAAAATAAAATAAATAAACGTGATATCGGTTATATTACGTTTATGAAATGTTGGCAAATGGTAATCGCATACATTGATACATAGTCATCAATTCATCATTTAATTTGTTTTTATTCTTGCTCAAGCAAAGGGGGCAAAGAATTTCATGAGGAAAACCATAGTACAAGTCTTCCTAACTTCCTTTAATTTGACTTATACACCTTTTCCATTTCATTATCATCAAAGTTTTCCATTGAATAGTAGATAGGTTGATACTAAAAATTTGAGCACATACTTTGTAATATAGCAACACGAATATATTTTTTCTTAGCATAAACGGTCAAAGTAACTTATAAAAAGTCATAATGTATGAACTATTAGGATATTGCAGAAGAAGTAACTTATTATGTGATGAATTTAAGTAGTTTGGTTACCTTGTTGAAAAGTGAAGCCTTTCCTATTCCCTTTCTGACCGTTAATGTTGAGTTGTAAATACATGTGACTGATATGCCATATCATATGCCTTTCCGACCGTCTAGTTTGGGCTGTTATTTGATCCATGTGAATTTTCTTCATATTGCCAGATATTAGGTCTTCCGTTTTTTAAAATTTCGTACTTTTTTTTTTCTTTTTTTTTGTGTGTGTGTGTGGTGAAATTGTATTAATTTCTATAACACTATTCATTGTGTAACAATCTTTAACGTCCTTAATTAATAATTTTGGTTGCAACATTTTAAATTTATATGAGTAGTCAATTATTTTGAGTAATTAATAATCTTATTTTAGTCGTTATAAGAATGTTTCATACGATTCCCTATGATGATTCATGTTAGTCAATCTCAAATCATTTTGACACTAAAGTTTTGTTGTTGTTGTATAAGAATGTTGATAAAACAAAGGAAAAATTGTCAAGAACTACCTACTTAATAGGTCATTTTGTCAATAGCTACTCCCATAAATTTTTTATCAAAAAAACTACCCACTAAATTTAAAAAGTTTGAGTAACACTACCCATTTTGGTTCTCAGACAACAAAATCCGGCAAGTGTGGCCGAATTTTATTTTTTTCTTCCAAAACTTACCTAAACCTCGTATTAACAACTAGAGTTGTTAATTCAGGTAAACGGGTCAGGTAAGAGTGGGTTGGGTCAACTCGAGTTGGGTCAATTCAGATTAATTCCATAACCTATGCGGGTCGGGTTTGATCAGTTAGGTCATGCTTGAGTCGGGTCACATCGAGTCATACTTCTTATCGGGTTTGGGTCAGATTTAGGTCGGATTAATAACAGGTTGGGTTACATTCGGGTCGGGTAAACAATAGGTCGGGTTTAATTCGGGTTTTCACGGGTTAAAACGGGTTAGGATAATTCTCGGGTTTGGTTCAAGTCAATAATTTGCGGGTTAGAATCAAATCGAGTCATTCTCGGGTTTGAGTCGGGTTCGGTTCAAGTCAATAATTTGCAGATTATAATCAGGTCGGTACATTTTCAAGGCGGCTCATTCTCGAGTTCAAATCGGGTTCGGTTCAAGTCAATAATTTGCTAATTAGGTTGGGTCATTCTCGGATTCAAGTCGGGTTATGTTCAAGTCAATAATTTGCTAGTTACAATCAGGTCAGATCATTTCCAAGTCAGGACATAATCGGGTTTAACTAACTATAAATAGATAATTATCATTTTTATCAACCTAATTTTTCCTTTGAATATAATATATATGGAAATATACTGGGGAACTATAAGTCTATAATTTAGGAAGATAATTATCTCCTTTGACCATACAACAAATACTACCTCCGGTCCATATTACTCGCAACTTTGGAATATTTTATATCTCACAAATAATACCCCAATCAAGTTGTGAGTAATTTGGAGCGGAGGTAGTATATACTATATTTAACTCTTAAATTTGAGGATGATGCTCCTTTATTTTGCTGGCCTGGACCGACTTGATCTCCCAAGACAAAATGCTTTGATCAACAATAATCACTACTAGAAAACAGCCTAATTCCGACGGATTCGTTCCGACGGACGTATAATTCCGTCGTAAATTTTGAAATTTCCGACGGAATTTATTTCCGACGGAATTTAAATCCGTCGGAAAATATGTATTTAACGACGGAATTTTTCGTCGTAATTCAAAATTTCCGACCGAAAATTCCGTCGGAAGACAAATTTTTTTTTTTAAAGCCCTTTATTTTATAAACCCTAACCGACACTCTTAGCCTTTTATTCCATCTGTTCTCTCTCCTCTCCTCTCTTCTTCTCTGGTAATCTCCTCTACTTGTTCTACCCTCTCCTCATTTCTATCTCCTCCTTCTCTTTCTATCTCCTCATTTATCTTCTCTTTCTCTGTTTTTTTCGGCGAGTGGTGTGGCGGCAACGCGGTGGTGCTTCTCAAATATTTCAGAAATTAATGGTTTTTTTGGTCAAATTCGACCATAAAAAGACTAGATCTAGGCTTTTTGTGGTCGAATTTGGCCTATTTAAACCAAATTCAACAATTCAAAGCCAATTTATATTATTGAGGTATGTTTTTCGACATTTTTTTGTATTGTTTTTATGTTTTTTTTTTCAAATATTTTTCGATTGGTGGCGCTGTGGTGGGGGGTGACTAGTGCCGTGACGTGGTGGTTTTTTTTTGTTTTCATTTTTTTAAAAATTATTTTCGGGTGGCTGGTGTTTTTAGGTGGGTGGGTTTGGGTGGGTTCGATTAGGGGGTTGGGTTAGGTTGGTGGGTGGGTTCGATTAGTGGGTCGGTTAAGTGGGTAGGGGTTCTGGTGGGTGGTGGATCGGGTTAGGGTTCTAGTGGGTGTGGCTGTGGCTGTGGGTGGTGGATCGGGTTAGGGGGGCTGGTGAAACGGGTTAGGTGTGGGCTGTGGGTGTGAGTGGTGGATCGGGTTAGGGGCTGGTGGTGGGGGGTGGTAGCTGGTGTGTGGTGTGTCTGGTCGGTTTTAGGTGGGTGGGTGAGGGTTGGTTTTAGGTGTTGGTGGGTGGATCTGGGTTAGTTTTGGTTTAGGTGGTCGGTGGTGGTTCGCTTAGGGTGGCCGGTGGTGGTTGTGACGAATATTTTAGGAGTTTTTGTATTTAATTTGTTGCGGTGGAGGTGGCGGTTTAGCGGTGGTGGCTGATTGGTGGGGGTGGTGTGGGCTTTTTTTTTTTGTTTTTTAAAAATGGATTTTCCGACGGAATCATTTTCCGTCGGAAATTTCTGACGGACTTTCCCGTACCTTGAAAACCTCTTCTGATGCTAAAATCCGTCGGAATTTCCGTCGGAAAAGTGTTTCCGACGGAAATTCTGTCGGAAAAGGTCGATTTTCCGACAAATACTATTACGACGACACGTTCCGACGGAAGTCCGTCGGAAACACCATTTCCGACGGAAAATAGGGTGTTTCCGACAGAATTTTTCCGTCGTAATTAAGCTGTTTTCTTGTAGTGAATAAGGTGGTCTAAATTGCATTTAAGGTGATTTTAAATCGGGTCAGGAACAATTTGGGTTGAATTTAGGTCGGGTAAATAACAAGTCGTGTTAATTTCGAGTCGAGTTAGTTACAGATCAGGTTGAATTTTTGGGTTGGGTAAGTAATAAGTAATGTAAAATTCGAGTCGGATCAATAACAAGTCGGGTTAAATTTGGGTCAGGTCAATAACACATCGGGTTAATTTCGGGTCGGGTTTGTAACAGGTTGGGCAAAATTCGGGTCGGGTTAGGAACGGATCAGGTTGAATTCAGGTCAGATTAGTAAAAAGTCGGGTTAAATTCGGGTTTTGACAGGTTAAAACGGGT